AGTTGTCATTCGAATCCTTTGAAACCTCTAACAGTAGAAAAAACGTGTGCTGATTTGTTTGAGAGCCTGGCTAAGCCCTATCTAAAAGATTTCTGCTGTAAATAGTTGCGGATGTAATCCGTTCCGAGATGCATGCACCTGTTGTGGATATGCTCCAGCATCAATCGAGTTGAGTGCTCTTATGCATGCATGAAGACTGATTAAATACTTAGCTCTGTTTTTCAGTGGAGGGTTGCGAAGACGGTCTTGAACTCGCAGATCAGTTTCATCCAAGAATGGAAAAGGAAGAAGCTTGCATTTTTTGTCTAAAGGTTTATTTACTTGTAGTTCCTGCAAAACTTCAGGAAAGGACTTTTGCTTTGATTGAGCAAACAGCAACGCTTTGGCTGTTTCGCAATAATTGATTGTTGGATTTCGATTTTCTTGGGTTAGAAGCAAAGAACAGAATTGCTTTACGCGTGATGCAACACGAAGAAAGCGAAGCCAATCCGAACACCGAGTTGAGCTTAGCCGAAATTGAATAGGAATGATTCAGTAGCTTTTGAAGCATAACTAAAGGACGTGTAACGGTTTGTCATTAGAAGTTGCAACAGGAATTCTGGCGGAGTGACCCAAAAGCGGTGTATGTCTCAAGGAAGACGCCATGGGTTCCATGATCTGTAGGTTTCATCTTACCTGGAATGTGGTTCCCTTGATCCTCTTTCGACAAGGAGAGGATCTCGTTTATGCGATTAGCACTGATGGATTTCTGTTTTTGGCACGATTTCAGCCGAGCCAGGACAGTTGTGCTAGCTGTCCAGAGCTAAATTTTTTGAAAAAAGAATTTTTTTCATTCACAACGAACTTGAAGCCGGGCTTAAAAGAACTGCTTGAAGCCGGGGCCCCTAAAAGAGCTGCCTGTAGTTCCAATTTTGGAATATTCTTCTTTCAGAGGAGCTACGTTTGTACCATCAATGATAGAATTTGCGCGAATATGAAAAGCTTTTATAGCTCGAAGGTAGACGCAAGTCAAAAAAGATTTTTCATGACAAGAACCCACTTTTGAATATGATTCCTGTGGTCGCCAATTTATTCAAAACTGTTCTTGTCATGAATAGTCTTTGTTTCTTTTTCCCCCATGTTTGCTTGCTTTTCTTTACGTCAAAACTTGAAGAGCAATCTAATGCGCGGGCTTACATTTACATTAGAAGTCAATTATGAATCAACAAACATAGAAATACGATAGTGACACTTACAGTTTGCCCGGCTACAGTTCCTAGTTATGTCATCTCAGCAGAAGTGATGGCAGGTCAAGGATTTCAACCCATTAACCACCATTTCTTGCAATTTGTGTCCCTTTTCTTGCAATTTTTATTTTATTTTGTTCAAGAAAACGAATTTTTGAATATTTTTTTGCAATTTTTTTATTTGATATTTCACTTGCGAGAGCAAGTGACTTTTTATCGGAAACTTGACTTTTTCCCGGCAACAGTTATTCTTACACATTCAAGACGTAAATGTAGTTTCAGGTGCAGTTTAAAGGTGCAGTTTCTGGTGCACAGACTGACATGCTCAATTTCTTGAAATTCTTAAGTACTTTTTAGAGCATTTCAGATAATTAATTTTTTCAAATAATTTTTTTGAAAAATCGTTGGTTTTTTCGGATTCGTGGTTTCGGCCTAGTTACTGTCGGTCCATTTTTCTGTTTTAATGGCTTTTATTATAAATGAAAGTTCTGTAATTTGTCGTTTTACGAAGTCTGATTTTGAGTAATTTCATTTCTGTAGCTTTTTCGATTAAATGGTTCCGGCTCATTTTTTATCTGCCTAGTCAATTTTAATTGCATTGTTTCGAGGGCAAAAATTTCTTTGTGTGCATGTGATTTCGCTTTCTTAATTCATTTTTTGAGACATTTTTTGCGGAAATTGTTATTTTTCTCAACAGCTACTTCAAAAATTTTTAAAAAGATGGTATCAAGGGAGAAACCGGCTACTTCTTGTGTGTCTGCGTGTTTCATTAATTTCTTTTTGCCTTGCGCCAGTTCAACGGCTTTCGAAAATTTCACTACGCGGGTCATGTTTGACTCATTATCTTGGAATATTTTATCAGCGACTTCCCTGCCATATCTGACAAATGTATTAATGGAAAGAACAGATAGCGGGAAAAAACAGTGAAGCAGCCCTGACGCCCTAGTTTTTATAGAAAAAAGGCCATTTTTTGAGTTTGTTCATTTTCTAAAGTTTTTTTGATTTTTCTCTTTAACTATTATCCGATATCTATGACTGAGGATTTAATCGAAATCATTGGTTAGGGGAATTTCCTAGAAGAAACGTTTGCGCCACTAATTTTCTTTAAAAAAATTATGCACTAGAAATGATATTTTTTGACCTTTTGTCCTTTTTTGCGAAAATTTTAGGCTTTACTCGAACTACCCTCCCAAATCCGGGCTTAAAGATTCAATCAAAAACAGATGTTTAGCAGTTCTACCGTAGTAAGCGGTTACATTGCATTTTTGTAAAAAAAAAAAAAAGGTTTACATTTTGGAAATTGTTTGAGTTTTTGATCGTTTTTTGAAAATTTGTCTTTTTCGCAAAAACTACCCTGCCTAATCTGATATGAAGAGTTTAATGGAAATAAAGGGTTCAAGTGATCCTCAGTGCGTTAGCATATTGTCATATTTTTTAAGAGCAAAAAAATTGCCTTGGACAAAGTCGAATTTTTGAAATTTTAACTGCTCGTGAAAACTTTTGACCTTTGTCGAAATTTCACTGCATGTTAAGTATTATATCGAGATACCTGTTCATAAGAATCTTTTCTTCGTACTCGGCTCCGCCATAATTTTCGCATTGAAATTGTTTTCTTCCGGAAATGTCAAAGTACTGAATTTTTTGATAGTTTTTTTTTCAACTTCTGACCGTTCTCGGAAACAACCCTGCCATTTTCAACATTTATGGTTTAATTGAAATAACAATCTGGGTTTCTTGACTGCATAGGCTGGTATGCCCTTATTAAGGTAGTAAAAAATCTAAAGCTTCCGGAAAAATCAAATATTTTTTTTAAAACGTTTTTTGAAACTTTTTTGTTTTTTTTTTCTCAAAAACTTCATTGCCAAATCTGAGAGTGAGGGTTCAGTTGAAGGAACAGGTTGGGAGAGTTTTCGTCCACTAGCCGAGACTTCTAATTTATGAAAAATTCATGTCGTTAGAAACTGTCAAATCCGAGGTTTAAATTCAATCGAAAAAATTGATTGTGGGAATATTTTCTGTTTAGGTGTCTCAGTGATAATAGGTTCAATAGCCAGAACATTCCCTGTAAAAGCAGCTACGCTTTCTTTGTTATTCAAAAACTGTAATGACTTGAGAAAATTTTTGATATTTCGATCATTTTTTTTGGAAACTTTCTTTTCTCAAACACTGCCGCGACAATTCTGAGCTTTATGATTTCTTAAAAAACCTGTTGTATGGATCTTCCCTACATAAACGGTTACATTCTGTTTTTGTTGTAGAAAAGCGCGTATGGTTTAGGAAAATCCACTTCAAAACTACCCTTCCAAATCGGATATTGAGTTCAATTGCAAGAACGGAAAACTGGCTCTCCCCTACATGAGCGATTTATACCTTATTTTTGATACTAATTATACTTATACCTTTATTTTTGATACTAAATATAACTTATTTTTTGCTACTTATACCAATTTTTGATGCATTACATCCCGATCAGTACAACATATTTTCAGCTTAGCTTAGCATATAAGCTCAGCTTGGCCTCTGTGTATAAATTTAAAACCTATCCAATAGGGATTGGCAAAAAAAAGTCAAAAAGTTCTCTCTGCGAGAAAAACTGGTCTCAATATTTTAGGTTTTCAGACTAAGTTCGGCAATTTGATTAGAGGCTAACCTATATGACGCCTTAATTTATATATATATATATATATTTTTTTTTCGAGTGGACTTAATAATTTCTTTTGAACCAATTTTCATTATTCAGTGTGGTCAGAACATTCACGGTCGCGAAGTTATGATACATGCCCAAATAATTATGAAATCCGCAATCAAAATTTTCTTTGAACTTTGAAATTCGACGCGTCATTTTTTTGTCTAGAAATTGCAGCGGGAAAATTGGTGAAGTGGCAAGAATTTGTACTGTGGAACTGTTAGACTCAACATAACGATAATAAGAGGTGCATTAAACATGGCGTTGTTTTAATCAAAAGCAATCTGCACTTTATTGGCTCAAAATAATGCAATAATAAATGAGAATCAAACAGGGATTCAGCTTTTTTTTACAATCATCAAAGACCACCGTTTACTGGGCATGATGGAATGGTATTATTTGAATATATATATGTATATGTAAATCCGTAACTAGAAAAAAAACATGAGATTTTTTTTTTCGAAAACGCAAAACAAATTGATTACTACTATGTTAGTTTTTACTTGTAGATTGTGATGTACCTTACTTTTTCTGAGAAAATCGCAAAAAAAAACTCAAAATGCAACTGAAATGAGTTGAAACTTTTATAGCAGTTTTTGCAAAATTTTTGAAGCGTCGCGCTAGAAAATATGATGTACGGTTGCATATCTCGAAAAATGAAATGAACATATTCAGTACTTTCTGGAATATTCCGGATCAAAATATTCCAATTTTGTTGCTTTGCTGTAAGGGGCTCAATGTCTGTCCAAAGTTTTTTTTCTGTTTCAATTGAGTCAGTCAAATAATGTGTTTCTAACGTTGTTTTCACACAAGGAGTGAAAAGATTTCATGATCACATTTTTCGCAGGGAATTTTTGAGTTCTAAAATTTTTGGTCGCATTCCTTTTTTTCCTGATGAGTCTTCCTTTTAATTCATGTAGCGCCGTTTAAGATTTCAAATATTTATAACTTTTCGGGCGGCTTGTTTTGAAAAAATCTTGAACTCCAGCCTATAATCAATATAAAATTGTCTCTTTACTCTTTAAGTATATTTATGACATGACAAATTCATTGTCAGTTTTCAATTCGATTTTGAATTAAATCAACTTATTTAATATTCATAGCTGCACAAATGTAGAGACGCAAATGTTACTCAAAAGCGTTGACTAGTTGTGTGAGGCGTTTTATATGGTGTGTTTTGTTCAGATTTTTACAGCGCAAAAAATAGAAAGCGAATTAGTTGAAACCAGAGAGTTATCGATTTTACTTTGATTTTCACTTTCAGTTTGGTTATGCGATTCAGATACCGTTATTGTCTCTAAGTGGCTCTATTTTCTACTTGCGTATAACTTAATAATTGAAAAGACTAGGCATTTAAGCCTAAATTTAGCAATAGGTGGAAGAAGCCGATAATTGTTGTTTTCCAAAATGTATTCCACTTTTTCCAGTCGCCAAAACCCGAACTTGCCCAGAATATTAGTTCTTCTTCTAGTCATACTACTTCTGGCTTTATTTTACCAGCATTACAGTAACAAGCAAGTGCAAGGAGTCCTAGAAAGAGACATATCATTTGGTCAGCAGCGGGCCAAGCAAGTGGAAAGGGAGCTGGACGCCATACAAAAGGGTCTGCAAATGGATCTGAACAAAGAGAAGAGTGAAAATGAAAAAGTGCGGTCAGAACTTCAGAACATCAAGTTGTCGATGGAGCAGCTGCAAAGTGTACAGAGTAGCAAAGACAGGACATGTCAAGAATACTTCGATGATCTGCAAGGATGTAGAAGTGAGAAAGCAAATTGTGTTCAAAATGTTGATAACTTGAGTATGAACATAAGTAAATGTCTAGGTCAGAAGAAACTCACTGAAGACAATGTGAACCAGATGCAAGCGAATATCGAAAAGGCTTCCTCGGACTCTTATCAGTTGAACCGACAGATTGAACAGTTGCAGAACAAGATGGCAGAAAAAGACCAGGAGCTGCAACGCCTTCAGCTCAAAATCCAGGGACTCCAATCGTCTGCAAATCAGAACGCAATGGCACAGAACCGAAATCAGTATAACGGTCAGTACCAACAGTATCCACAACAGAATCTTCAGCAGGCAGGTGGTAACTTTAATCAACGCCAGTTCCCTGTTGGAGCAAATAACATTTTGAATAACGTCCCTGGATTTAACAATCAGTTTGCGCCGCTGCAAAATGGCAATCAATTCAACAAAAATCAACAGTTGCAAAATGGCGCTGGTGCAATATTAACTAACAATAATAACCAACAGGCTGCTCAAAGAGGTCAAGTCAACAATGCTTTGTATTTAGGCAACCAGCCAAACTATCAAATGAGTAATAACAACGGGCAACCTCCAAGGTACGATCAAAACATACAACAACAAGGTCAACCACAGCAGCAACAGTACCAGCAACAGGCTCAAAATGTTAACTATCAGCCAGTGTATAATAAAGGTCCAAGCGACCAGGACAAATCTCGACAAGTCTTAAGTGAAGTTGAAAAAAGTAAAGAGCCAAGTCAACAACAAGTTGTGGAACCAAATCAAGTGGCAGCTCAGCAAAACGTGGAGTCCCAGAATGGCCAGAAGAGTGGAGGTGATAATTCGCCCGGGGAAGAGCTTCCAGAGATGCCAGCAAACTGGAGAGGTCAAGATCACAATGTCCCCGTAGAAGGTCACAACGAGCAAATGGGTCCAGTTGCTCTGGATGCGCTCGCGAAAGATCAAAATGATGAACATGAAGGAGCCGGAGGTATATAATTGAAAACTGTATTGTTCCGACCACGTGTCATAAATGACGTAAAGGGAATTTCACTTAGCCAGTTTTATATCCTCTATTTAGGTACCGCAAGGAAAGCTCACTTTTTTTGAAAAATTGGTCCGAAGCTTTCCGTTTTTTTTTTCAGACCAAATGACTCGATTTTACAAATGATAAATGACTCGAAATTTACAAATGACTTGAATAAAATCATTTGAAAATGATGTCCCAATTAAATCATCTTCGATTTACACATTAATTTAGCTTAAACATTTTCTCATTAAACTAGTTCTATTGGTCTTTACTGGAAAAAGAACAACAGGAAATTTAGTTAAACAAAGAAAACGTTTAAATTTTTTTTTCATTTTTGAGTTTCTTTGCTGGAATTATTGTGGTTGGAACATTCTGTGCTACTTGCAAACCGCTTGTCTATTCTTGTTTTTATAATAGTGGTAGACTGGAAACTTATTTTGGAGATTATATCGGTATTGGGTCGATTATTTCTGACAAAAAGCGCAATATTATGAATTTAGCTTGGAATTTCTATCCAATTTTTGAAACAAACTGAAAGCTTTCAACCATATAGAAACGATGAAATTATGATTCAATATAATGCGACGTTTTTTCGACTGATAACTATACGGAAGTATTTGACGAATTAGCAAGTCGCGAAGTAGTTCAATTAGAACTTCAAACAGGAATAGTCTACATGAAGAAAAAGTCTAAGCGAATTTTCAAATATAACTTTAGCCGGTTAATTTTTAAGTAGCACAGAATGTTCCGACCAGTTTTTAAAAAAAAAATTTTTTTGTTCATAGCGTCGTTTTTTTAATGTTGTGATAAAAAGAAAAACAACAACTTCGAAATATTTGAGAGTCATAGTAAAATAGGTCAATTGGAAAACAGATTTTGAATAAAAATGACTAGAAAACGAAAAAACATTTAAAAGAACTTCCAAAAATTCCTTTACTTGAGACAAACTAAGTTTTCATGGCTTAAATTAAGTTTAAATAAGCTATTATAACCTTACACGGTCACCTTATTAGCTCGAAATTAGACCAAAAATCAAAAATTTCAAACCAGTTTTCCTCGACACTCTGAAAAATTTCCTCGACTGAAAGGGCTTTAATATGATATATCACTCTACCCATTTCTATGTTTTTTTGTGGTATCTGATATTGCGTGGAAAACAAAAAAAAACAAAAAACTAAAACACACCCGAATACAAAGTTCCTCCGAATTTTGATTGCTCCAAATCAAATCACGAAAAACTTATAAAAGCGCAAACAGAAAATTAGATGACGTGTGTGCTGGATTCGTTTTAGAGTGTCTTCGAATTGGACAGATGAGCATACAGCATGAGCGTTATGCATAGAAAAATGGAAAATAAAGAGCAAATTAGCATTTTGATAACTAAAGGTGTGAAGAACATCCGTGGTGTTAGGGATCCTCGAAGTATTATTAGATTTTTAGGAGTGATTTGTTGTTTTCAGCATTAACATCTGCGCAGATATTAACTTCGACAATCACGAATTACAATAAGAAAAGCTAGCTGTAAATGGCAATGTATCTTTTGTGTGGTGTGTTCAATGGCTGTATTGTTTAGATAAAAAAGCGCAGGCTGCTCTCAAACCAAATGAATTTAAAACAAATGGCACAAAAACAGAAGTTAAAGGTATTGTGGCTGAAAATCTCCATTAATCTGTTGTTGTGGGGTCTTACCCGGTTTTAAATCATATATCATTCTGAAATTTTCATTCTGTTACTCTGGTTTCTAGAATAGTTAGTGTATTGTCGTGTATACTAGTTTTTTGTGCGAAATACTTAAATGCATTTAGTACTGATACATTGTTCTCAATCGATAGAAATAAAATTAGGAACCAAATTTTCCGCCCACAATCACCTCAAAACGGATCTGTAGATCCAATGGTGATCTCCCAGGCAGTTTTAATTTTACTTATGTGTCAGTTTGTGAACTTTTTTCATTTATGTCTGAGAACAATTTATATACACTTGCTAGAGCTTGCAATCGGGAACTAGACAATTTTCCCGCAAACAACTTTTCTTACAAATCTTACTTGCTTCTCTCACTTGCTCTATAATTGAACCTTAAAAACTTCTAGGTTCATTTAGAGGTACCGTTGTTGACTTTGCAATCTAATGTATGTGGTTCGACTCTCAGTCGGACCTTGTTTTTAGTTTGTATGCATTTGAAAAAAAAATTTCGGTAAAAACTGAATTGTCGAACTTTCGTTTGTCTGCTCAAGTTTTGTCGGCTTAGTTGCCACACATCACGGATTTCGCTTGTGGTGTAAGCAAATTCGATTGCAGTTGCAAGTGAGATTTTTGTTCATTCTAGTTTCAGGGGGCTTGGAAGATTTTGAAATTTTTGTCATAAAATCACTTTTGTACAACTGATGTCTGCTCAAAGAATTTCGGCTTAGTTGCCAGATCACTATTTTTTGTACTGTAAGAAAGTTCCGTTGTAGTCTCAAGTGCACTTTTTAAAAGTAATGAACGTAGTGAGTGCTCTTATATAGGTCTTGCTGATTTTTTTTAGGAAAGTCTTAAATTTGTTCACGCTCATTTTTGATTTTTTGCGGTTTGACTTGTGATTTCTTTTCAAGTTCAGTGCATTTCTATTGTTAAAAGGAAGGAAAAATCCACTATTGAACAACAAGATTGTACAGGTCACGAAAAAGTGATCGACTTCCAATTTCGAAAATATTGAGGCACTTAGCATAGTGGTAAGGCGTTCACTTCGTGATCGTCAGATCGTGTAATCGATCCCCCGCCGTGGCAATGGTGGTGTATGAGGAAGAGCTCTCATCTCACTTGAACTCTGGCTTCAGGTCTGCCACAGCCTGACCGATTTCGGCTGTAATAGTAGTACCACGTGATAGTTGCAGACGCAAAAAAAACGACTTTGAGTCACAAAAAAAGAGCTTCGCTCAACAAAATAACTCAGTCTGGATTGTGGGGAAATAAGAGAAACTGACTATGCTTGACAGGCTGCAAAGCCTTTCATAGACCCTCTGCGAATCGAAGGAATGACCATTAAAATTAATTATCAGATTTTTTAGCGAAATAAATGTTTTACCTATTGATCCAGTTTTCTCAAATTGGGTTAATTTTAACAAAAAAAAGTGTCCATCATTCGGTTTTTTTCCGGTTCATCTTGTGTCAACGATTTCGGCTTTTTTTCCTCTTCGTAAATTTTGTTCAGTTGCTAATTGAATATTCAAATGTCGGACATGTTTTACTAGAACGATCACTTTGTTTTTCAAACAGATGCCAGGACTAAATATTATGTTTACTTTCAGACGATATACTTCTCACTCATCCTAATAAGTATAGATCTCGTTTTTGAGCGTCAAACTCTTTCAGAAAACAGTAACCATTAATCAAATACTATCGCAATAGCATTTGATTAAGAATGTGGCACGTTTCGCCTCACACACATTTCGCTCCTCTCAAAAATACTGGCATATTTTGTCCCTCACACGTTCCGCCTTCATAACTTGACACATTTCCTTTTACATTTTGCCCCTAATTTCGTCGCAATTTTTTTTTCATTAACATGGATTTGTTCGCTATGAAATTAATTAATCGCCGCTTCCTAAATTTACGAATTTGAGGGGTGAAATGTGGAATACCATGGGATAATTGAGAACGTTGTTTTTAGCTGCTCCGGGTCAAATCGACGAAGGTGGTCTGAAGCAGATAGGAGCACCAGGTGAAGACAAACAAGTTGAAAACGCAGCCGAAGTGGACTTCGTGCCTGGAGACGGACAGGGAGCCCTATTGCCCCCGATGGGCGAAGCTGAGAGAAAAGCAATGGATAATAGAATAGACAATGGACAAGCTCAGGTCAGTTGTAATGACAATGATAGCGGTTTTAAGTGGAATTAAAGGAGTCGGTTATTTGAGATCGGTAACGAGCTGTAAATTTTCGCTAGGAAAACCTCATTTTAAATTTTTTCATAAGAAATTTTACAATTGTATAGTTTTGTCTGTTTGTTTTAGCCGTCATATTTGATACCGCGTGGTTTTGCTTTTTAACTTTATTCGAGCCTTTATTTGATGTATTTATGATTGTTCGGGTGATTGATTCCTTAATTTTTTGCAAGTTTTTTTAAAGTTTTTGAACGTTATTTGTACATGAACCACCAGACAATGAAACCGTACATGAAAAGACAATCGTACATGAAAAGACAATGAACCAACTGATGTATCAGAACTTATGTTTTTTGAGGAAAAATTCTTAAATATTTACGAGCTCTATTTCGATTTGTCGCGGTTTGTCTTAGGAATATTGAGCGTAGTGAGTACTCTTATATAGGTCATGATGATTTTTGTGTTTTCAGGAAAATGTCCGAAAATTTTTTCACGATCAATTTAGATTTTTCACGATTTGATTTCTGATTTCTTTTTCAGTTCATTTCATTTCTTTTGTTAAAAGGAGGGCAAGCTCCACTATCGAACAGCAAAAATGTAAATATCACAAAAATATGGTCGACTTTTAATTTCTAAAATGAAATTTAGTTTTCTGATTACTCAAGTTTTTTTTCGAAAAGAAAAGTCAGTTTTTTTTCTCTTGCGTTCTTTACTCTTTTCCAAGCGTTCATTACTCTGTTCAGGAACAAATTTACTTTTTCGCGGTTTGACTTAGGTTTTTTTAAGTTGTTTATTTCCTCTTTGTTCAAAGAAGGCAACTCCACTATCGAAAAGCAAAAGTGTAAAGATCTAGAAAAAGTGCTTTTCATAAGTTGTTCTTGAAATTTTTCGAAATTTCTCGAAATACACGACAATTTTTTTTGCTTCATTGCGTTCATCGATTTTTTTAGCTGTCTGTTGGCTATGTTTTCATTTTAAGTTCAATGCAGTTCCTTTGTTGAAAGGAAGGCAGGTTCCACTATCTAAGATTGCAGTTTAAAGGTCACAAAAAAGTGATCGACTTCTAGATTTGAAAATGGATTTTTTTGATTTGCAGATTTCCCAGAGGAATAGTTATTTTAATCCTTCATAGTCCTCCATATTGCAAAAATTGTTCAATTATGATCTGATTAAAGTCGATGAAGGAAATCAAATCGAAACTTACATAAAGTGGTTTCTAGTGCGGTAAAGCGTGATTTTCTTTCATCTTCAGTAAAGTGTAAAGGACAAGAAAAACGTGTTATACTTCTATTTTTGTAAATGGAACTTATTTATCAGATTTCCGAAATAAAAATTTGAATTATTGATCCAGTTTTCTGGGTTTGGATTATTTGTAGCAAAAAAATGCCATTCATAAATTGTTCTCGAAAGTTGAATTCTTTTAAATGCTTAACGTTTTTTCTATTTCCTTGCGTTCATTGAGCCCTTTCCAACTGTCTGTTGGCTATGTTTTCTCTTTACTTTCAATTTGTTTCCTATGTTAAAAAAAGGAAAGCTGTACTATTGAACAACAGAAAACTCAAAAAGTTAGATTTACCTTTTGATCCAATGTTCTCCTATGGGGTTATTTGAATCAAGAAAGTGTCAATCTTAAGTTTTTTTCTTGGAAGTTCGAAAGTTGAGATTTTTCAAAAAAAAGTCAGTATTTTTGTCTTTACTTGCGTTCATTGTTTCTTTTCCAGCTGTCTGTTGTCTAGGTTACATAGTTGGATATATAAACACTTAGAATACCTCAACCTGTCTTTGAAAAAAGGAATTTATTTGTAAATTTTGGTTGTTTCTTCTTAACTTTTTTCAATTAGATAATAATTATTGTTCCGACTTTTGTAACGAAAGTAACGGAATATTTGTGCCCGGGGTGGTATTTTTTCTTCAGACAAATTTCGACTTTTAAACTAGTCATTTTTGACGAAATTTTTTATATCATTTGAAAGGTATTGTTGTTCTGAACTTAAAAAAATTTAAAAGATATATAACCTGTGATCGTTTTTCGAAAACTTATGAGGGTTTAAAGATTGCCATTTGGCCAATTGGGGACAATTAACGCGCGGTATATTTCGCGCTATTAACGCGTAAGCGGAGATTTAATCCGTCATAGAAATCGTTCCAAATTGGTTGAAAGACGCTTATTTGCCATAATTGCTTTGATACTAGCAGCGAAATCTATCACTTTGTACTTAATATGGCATGTGGGGGGATGATTATCACCTCAAATTAAAAAAAAAATTCATTTTATTTTTTTATTTATAATTTTTTCATGTTGTTACTGCTCCATAGACCTTAAAAGGCAGTCGGAACATTCAGGGCTTCGTTCGCCCTGATACGAGCAGTCTTGTTGTTCCGGCTTTCGATACGAAAGTAACGGAATATTTGTGCTCGGGTTGGGTTTTTTTCTTCAGACAAATTTCGACTTTTTAACTAGCCATTTTTGACGGAATTTTTTTATATCATGCAAAAGCTATTGTTGTCCTGAGCTTAAATTTGAAAAGTTATTTTACCTGTGATCATTTTTCGTAAAGATTGCCATTTTGGCCAATTTGGGACAATTAACGCGCGATATCTTTCGCGCTATTAACGCGTAAGCGGAGATTTAATCCGTCTTAGAAATCGTTCCAAATTGGTTGAAAGAAGCTTATTCGCCATAATTGATTTTTTGCAAGGAGCGAAACCTATTGTTTTGTACTTTATATGGCGTGTGGGGGGATGATTTTCATAGAAACATTTTCAAATTTTAGAAAAAAAGTTTTTCATTTTATTTTAATTCATTCAATTTTTTGAATGTTATTACTGCTCCAGCATATCTTTCAAATTGAACGCGCAAATGTTCGAATCATTAATGCGAAAAAAAATTATTTGTATTGTAAAGGTAATTTAATCCATGAAGCTGTTTGCTATTTAAATCCATTTTCTTGAATAAACAAAAAAGTGCAACCACATACATAAGAAAAAAAAAAAAAGTTTTTTTTGTTTCAAATTTGTCGTTTTTTTTTCTGCGCAATGTTATTTCTATTTGTTTTGCAGAATGTTTTTTATTTTTTTGATGCAGTAAAGACCTGCATTCATTAGATGAAATGGAACTGATGTTATCGACGTTTAGTATTCTTGCAGGGTTCGTTGATACAAAATTCTAAGAAGGTTGGAATGAATTTTGGATTTCAATCCGAAAAGAGTCATGCTTTTGTTTTGTTGGGTAAAATGATTGGTTTGAAGGATGGTAGCCAGTTATTAATCAAACTTTTCATGTAATGGTTGGTCGTTTCATACAAACATTATTTGATGAATCTGGCATCATTTTAGTTTTGAAAAAGTTATTTTTTAAGAGTCGATGAACGTAGGCATGGTTAACACTTTTTAAGAGGCTTAGTTAACGCTTTGTAATTTTTGTTTTAATGCCAATCAGGGGCGGATCTAGGATTTTCTCGAGGGGGGGGGGTTCAAAAAAATTTTCGAAAATTTTGACGAACTTTTTTTTAGGTCGATCAGATTGATTTTCCGAGCTCTCCTAAAGCAGTAAAAAGACCCTGTTTCGGCCAAATTTTCTGCGCCGCAGGCAATTTTTTTGAAAAAACAGGTCAAAAAAGCCGTTTTTGGGCACTTTTTGGAAAATTTTGACAAAAAAAATCGCGTTTTTTTTTGGCGCGCGCTCCCCCTCAAAATAAGTATATATTGGCGCCAAAGGCGCCTTTAGAAAAATTTTAGGGTCGGTCGGCCAAAGATGGATTTCTTAAAAAGTACCAAAGGGGGGACCCTTTGGGTTGGCAGGGGGTCGAATCCCTGAGGAGGGGGGGGGGGGGGGGCGTCCGCATCCCCCCCCCCCCCCCCTAAATCCGCCCCTGATGCCAATGAAATGACATGCTTGTCTAGAACAGCAGACTCATTTTGAGTGTGCTTGCTCGTAAAATAAAATTTGTATTCAACCTTTTTCATTGGCTGTAGTTTCATCAAATACGAATTGAAATATTTAATTTTTTCGCCGTATTTACGAGTAGATGAACGTGGTCCAGACCCTTATATAGGTCGTGATGATTTTCGTTTTATTTTTTGTTGTTTATCTGTTGGTTGTTTTTCACTGGAAAAGTTTATTCGGCGTATATTTGATCGACTTAGTCAACTCATATTGCGTTTTTTAGTTAGTACAACGAGCTTTTGGCTGAATGTGCTTTCGGCTCAACGAGACCCAATGAGCTGCTACCCTAATAATTTCTGTCGGCTTAGTTAACGTTTTTGTAAAGTTTGATTTATTGCTAATTTGACGCTTGCATTTGTCTTTCTAGAAATGTTCTCATATTGAATTTGATTTTCCTTCGAGGCAAATCGTGATAAGGAAATTTTTATAGAGCTAGTTAACTTTAAGGAACGTAGTGAAAACCTTCATTCAGATCTTGTTGATTTTTTCTTTGAAAAAGTCTAAAAAGGCTCTAATAAGTACGGAAGAGCGTTCATACATATAAGAAGACTTATGTATAATACAAATTTTGAGTTTGAACCAGACAGATCACTCCACTAACTAAGAACGGCCATGCACCACCGCCCATATAATCATGAAAGATCATCAATCTGTCAATCCTTAAGATGTCTGGACCTGGTGAGATTTCCCGTGTTGAGTCACATTAAGCAGCAGGGTCCACTCCTGAGTCCCGGCCGGACCTTTTCCCCCCTTATTTATGAAATTGAAATTTTGTTCGAAAAAAATGAATTGGCGGGTTTTTGTTTTTGTAAAAGTTTTGTCGGCTTGGTTGTCACAACAGTTATTTGTTGCTGTAAGTAGTTTTTTTATTATTTTAAGTGTTGTCATTTTAGTTTCAGGGGGACTTGAAACTTTTTTACAAAATTTTTTTTTCGGCTCAACTGATCCTCGACTTTGTTTCCGCTTCGTAAGTTTTTTTCTCTTACTAATTATACTAGCGGGCAGCTAGTGTATTAATAAGAACCTTTTTTTGTAACCTAAGTCGTAAATAAAAGTGTTTATTGAAATATTCACTTATATGGTAGTTTCACTGTAGCATTGGAATTGCATAGCATCTGTTCTCTGCTTTATTTGTGGCTAAATCAAAAGTCAGATGTTAATTCATCAGAATTGGTCTGGAGGTAATGCAGTGGCCTTTTAAATCTAACTCAGCTGTTCGAGTCGCGGCCAGATTTTTTTTTTCAGTGTCTGAAATTGAAATTTTCCGGGAAAAATTGATTTGTCTGATTTTAGTTTAGTTTTTTGGCTTATGTTTTGTCGGCTCAGTTGCCACCCTACAATTTTTGCGCGCTGTAATCAGTTTTCATTGTAGTCTCATGTGGCGTTGATTAACTCCTGTAGTTCTTAGAATTACTATACCTGATTGGTATATTTGCCGTTTTTTCCTTGGTTTTTTTTTCGCTTAGAAATTTTATTCTGCGTAAATGATTTCGGCTCTTGTTTTGTCGGTTTAGTGAACTTATTTTGCTTTGCTATTACGATAAAAATGATTATTCATGTTTTTTCTTAAATCAGGTCAGCTGTTAGTAAAAGAGTTAGAAGTTCCAACTTTTTAATCGCTCAAAATTTTTTTTTCAACAGTTTCCTTTGACAATGTTTTCGGTTTAATTAGCGTCTTACCACGTATTGTTGGCTTGGTAAACGCTTGAAAAATACTAGAAGCTTGTTTGTGGCTAGGGGTTTCGTTTCTCGTCTGTTTTTCTCGGATTGGTTTTTCGTAATTCCAAAAAAAGTGTTTGATTTTTTTATGACAACCATTGCCTTTGGTATGTTTGTTTCCCAATGAATTGGCGTCTAGCCACGGGTTGTTGACTTAGTGGACGCGTGGAAAATATTAAAAGCTTGCTTGATGCTAGTGGTTTTGTTTTTCGTCTGTTTTTCTGAGATTGAATTTGTCGTATTTCCAAAAATATGTTGAGTTTTTTATGACAACCATTTCTTTTGGTATTTTGTTTTTGGATCAATTGGCGTCTAACCACCTGTTTTTGGCTTAATAGACGCTCCATATATACCCAAAGCTTGCTTAATGGTAGTAGTTGTGTTTTTCTGAGTTTGAACTTTTCGCATTTCCAAAAATATGTTGAGTTTTTTATGACAACCATTCATTTGGTATTTTTGTTTTCTGATCAATTTGCGTCTAACCACGTGTTGTTGGCTAAATGGACTCTCGGAAAATGCTTAAAGCTTGTTTAATTGTGGTGGTTTTGTTTCTCGTCTGTTTTTCCGTAATTGATTTTTTCGTATTTCCAAAAATATTGTGATTTTTTATGACAACTGTCTTTCGGTCATTTGACCTTTCACCGCGTGTTATTGGCTTAGTGGACACTCGGAAAGCTTGCTTTCTTGTGGTGGTTATGTTTCTCGTCTGTTTTTCTGTGATTGAATTTTTCGTATTTCCAGTTTTTTTCACTAAGTTAATTCCATCTCACTGACCATGAAGTAGCTTGAAATGGTACGCTTTCGTTGTATTGCAAGTGATGCAAAGCTCCGCGTGGCCTCTGTGTTAAACGTCCGTGGCTGAGTGGTTAGTGCGTGAGACTCATAATTTCTAGGTCGCAGTAGGTAGTAGGTTCGAATCCGAGATGAGGCCGACTTTTTAATAATTCGAGGCTTATTCTACCTTTTCTTTTTGCACTTTATAGAGCTTCTTTTTGTCGTGTTCCCGCTAGTGTTTGCCTCTGCGTTTAAAGGAAACTATTAAATAAATTAATTTATTTTTTTCATTGCAGGCGAATTTGGCAGAAAAGCGAGAGGAGGCCGGCTTAGACCAGCCGGTAGGGTTCGAGAATGACGCTGAAGAAGAAGAAGACGAAGAGGAGAACAAGCAGGAGCGATATCAGGAGAACGAAGCAGCAGAGGTCGATCAAAGACAGGTAGAGGAAGGGGAGGAGGAAGAGAATGAGGAAGAGAATGAAGCGGCCGACACAGGTGAGTTGGTGATGGTGCAGCTAGTGTTTTAGTACGATTCTTCTTTTTTGTAACCTAACTCGCAAATAAAAGTGTTCATTAAAAGTGTTCACTTCTGTGCCTTCTGCTATAATCACAATCTGTAGCTTTGGAAAGTTCATAGCATGTGTTCTGTGCTTTTTTTAGCTAGTGTTTGTGAAAGACTAAGCGTCTGTGGCTGAGTGGTTAGTGCGGGGGACTCATAATTTCTAGGTCGCAGTAGGTGTTCTGTTCGAGTCCGAGACGTCGCCTAATTTTTATTAATTCGAGTTTTCTGTTTTTTTTCTCACTTTTTAGAACTCTAGAGCTGCTTTTTGTCGTGTTCTCGCTAGTTTTTGCTATGCGCATCTTCGCCTCTGTTTATCCTTGCGATCAGCCAGCGTGTTGCAATCAGCCAGCGTGTTTCGATCAGCCAGCGTGTTGCGGGGTACAAGAGTTTTCCCCGCATAAAATTAAGTGGAAAGGAGCAAAGTGATCTTCACTTAACTAGGTCTTGATAGTTTTAAGTTTTTTTTTCCTGAAAGGTCTCAATATTTGTTCGCGGTTTTGATTTATAATTTGTTAAAATTCGTTTCATTTCCTTGGTTAAATGAAAAGATAACTCCACTATAACTCCGCTGTTCGATAACTCGACTATCGAACCTCAAAGTGAAAAGGTCACGAAAAACGTAAATGATCTCTGGTTTCAAAAATGGACTTTGATTTAAGCGGAATAAAAAATAATAATATTGATCGTGTTTTCTAAATTGGATAACTTAAGGAAAAAAGAGCCAATTATAAGCATATTCGAAAAAATTGTCAATCATCTTTTTGGTTTCCTTGTTCTTTTGTATTTTGCCAATTGTCTGTTGGCTTAGTTTTACCATTGTACCGCTTATGTACAGTTTACCTTTTTAGCACAAGGTTTAACGCTTACCGTAAGGGTTAACGCTTAAGTAAGGTTTAACGCTCATCTTATATCGCACATGTAAGGTTCGTCATTAATTTGTAGGTGGAATATGTAAGATTTTGTAATGCGATATTTTTTATGTCGAATATCAGCTTTCAACCCTATCAAAACATGTCTGCGACCCTCTATTTCTTTTTACTCTTTTTCGCAGGGGTAACTTTGTTCGAAAGCTTACTCTATAGTTTTTGAGTAGCTTGCTGTAATCGTCGTATCCTTTTTGGTAAGATTTTGAAATCATCAGTTTGTCAAAAAAGTGACGATCATTAGTTTTTCTTGAAATTCGAATTTTTCTCTGAAGCTTTTTTCAGAAAAAAGTCAGTTTTTCAGTTTTGTTTCCTTGCATTCATCGACTGTTTTCCAACTGTCTGTTGGCTATGTATTTTTATATACCAGTTTGGTTTGAACTTCTGAACTTCTGTGCTTCTTGCACAGCAACAGGCTATCCTTGTTAACGTATATGTTAAATTGTATTTTGGCTTGTCGGCATGAAAGTTGTTTTAGAACTGAATTACGCTTGCGGGACGGCAAAGTTCGTATGTTCGATTCTGACCAGGAACTGTTTTTCTTCAAAGTGGAAACGTTCCTTTCCAAAAATTGTCGGCCTGTAGCTTGTCTGCTTGCGAAATTTTCAATCTGATTTTTTGTGCGCAACTTTCAATGTAGATGCTTTTAGTGTTTTGAATTACTCGGTCAATTTTTAATTTTACATGTCTTGACTTCGTATATTTTGCTGTTTTCGTTTTTTTCCGCTTAAAAACTATATTCGGCTTATATTTTATTGTCGTAGTGACCTAATGTGGAGTAATTTAAAGGGAAGCATAAGTTTTATGCTTCATTCTGGATTGCACAAACTGATAAAATTCTTAGGATATAGTTTACAGTTCAAATTTTTTCATGACAATAATTATATTTTCGGTTCTAGGGTAAATTCTACGGGAAGTTTCGTCGGCTGAGTTGCCACTTGTAAATGGTTCTTTGATTTTTCATTATATGCGGTCGATTTTTATATAGGTTGTGGTTTTTTGAGTAAATTCTTATTTGGACTAAGGGTTTCTTTTCCTGTCTGCTAGATTGCACTGCTATTTTATGTTGTATCGCAAGTTTTTGCGAAGCTCCTCTTCGCCTCTCTGTATGATAATTGTTTTTGACAGTAAAGCCATCGAGTAACGTTCTTATGAGAATAGTTCATTGAGGCAAAAATACTCCATTTTACGAAAGGAAAACTAGTTTTGGAAGCTTCATTTAGCGATGCTTGCGTAATTAAAGATTTCTAAAAAAATATGTCAGTATTTTCTCAATATTTAATAATTTTTTCATTTTTGATTGTTATATTTTTTTGAAGAAAACCGTTGGCGATAATGCCTTTTTTACGAATTTTCTACGCGTTTGTATAGTTATCTCATCACACCACGCACATAGAACGACACTATTTTGAAGAAGAAAAACTAAAACTTTTTTTGTTTGTTATGAATGTCGTTCGGTGCTACTGGCAGAGCAACCGCCTTTCTTGTTTCAATTCACGTTTGTGTAGTAAAAAATTAGAATTAAAAGATGATTCAGAATTATTTTTACCTTTTTACACCAGCAAAGTTTGTGTGATAGTATGAACTTTCTTTTTTTCCAACCTAAGTCGCAACTATTGTTGCGACGCAAATATTGTTTCGACAAAATGTGTTCATTTTGAACGTGTTCAATTTGATCAATAACCAGCTATTAAGTACATCTAAGGATACTAACACTGACTATTATTTTACAAATAGCACTTCAGCTTCAAGATATGCATCTGTAGCGTAGAGGTAGGGAAGGGGACTCGCAACAAAATAAGAGGGTTCGAACATGGGCTGGGTCAGATGTTTTTAATGAACTTTCTCTTTTACTAATTTAAATGCGTCAGCTCTATAAATTGAGGTATGTTAGTTGGCAATTTTTTTTGTAAACTGACTGATTCTGCTAATGCGTCATAATTGGCTTGCGTCTTTAAAAATTTATGTAGGCTCGTAATTGGCGTGCGTCACTTAAGAAATTTTGTAGACTCAAAGTTTTGCTTATTCAGTGTTTACCAGTAGTGCTATCGGTCATATTTTTGCTTGTGTATGCGAAGTGCAACTTTGCCCCTGTGTTAAATGATATCAAGAGACAGAATTTCAATGTCTTTGTTTTGCATCTCTTGCATGTGGTAGGTAAATGATTCGAAAACAAAACTGGTAGAGTTCTACTTAATGACAAGGTAATCAAAATGCTGTGTCATTTAGCATGCCACCGTTTTGCCCTCAAAATTTTTTTCTGAAAATGTGTCGCTTTGAAAAATTTTATAGCTTGAAAATTTTTAAAAAATTTTGTAGCTTGAACATTTTTTATGGCGACATCGATTTCGTCTTAATGAGGGTCGACCGAAGTTTTTTTTTGCTGGGTCGTTGATGCAATTCGATCTTTGATTCTCAAACCTTAGTTGCCGGTCGATTATTGATTCTCAATGCGTGTTAAGGCTGTTTATGAACATCGTCCAAGGTACAGGTATGAAATTTTTGTAGATATGTGTTTTTGGACTTAATTCTAGTAAGTCTTTCCGTTTAATTTAAAAAACTTCCTTTTTTCTTCAATATCTTGTAAAGCAAATTTTTAATTGTAAAGCTGTTAACAAATTTATCGGACAACGTCTTAAATTTTCGAAACAATTCTGACCCTCCAGCTGAATTTTATTAGAACTATTTTTTTGAAGTTTGCGTTTGCCTTTTTGTCGGCGTTTTATGTGTTCTTATTTATTGAAAGTTTGCATGTGAGATCGCTGCTGAATGAAAATTGTTTTGAAGATAACGGCTTGTTCTATTAAAAAACTGACCTCTGAAAAAGTGCAATCATTTTGGTCTGCTCTTTTGACAGTTCAAACACAATTTTGAAATTTCGGTTGTATTTTCAACCATTTCACTGTCTCAAGGCCAGAATTTTTTCGGAAAATTAAGACGTTGCGTGATAGTTTGTTATAGAGAGTTGCAAAAAGTTCGGACAGACAGACTTAATTAAAAAGAGCAACTGTCTAGACATCAACGGAAGTTAAAACTGAAATAAACTTAACATCGAAAGTTCATAAAGCAGAGTTTTGCTCGAAAATTATAACCACGGCGGGCAATTGCATCCGAAGCGTCGAATAGTAAACCTTGAAACAGGAAAATTACTGCTCAGGGTGGCTATCGTTTTTCTGCGATTAGTTTCCAAATTTTGATTTGATCATCTTCACTGCCGTTTGTTTTTTTTTGGTGCGGCCTAATCTGTTTTTTTTCTGTGTTTTGTTTTTTAACTAACTTTGCGAACTGTTTAATAGTAAAATCTGGATGTTCATTGCAGTATTTAAAAATAGGGCTAGCATAATCTTCGGATATCCGACAATCTCGCATTTTGAATTTGGCCTGACAAAAAATTCAAGGTTGTTCGCATTCAGGTTTTGCATGCAAAAAAACTTCAAAAAGCACTGATTGCTCATTTTAATTAATTCTGTCTGTCCGAACTTTTTGCTAATTATAAAAGCTATCTCGCAAGTCAATTAATGTTGCACAGTTTCAAGGGCGATTTGGTGTTGATGCTTTCGCGCGTTTCGGGTCGAAAATAAATTTTTTTAAAAAAATGTAGCTTTAATATTTTTATCTCTACAGTTTCGGTTCCAGATTAACGAGGGGTCGACCCTGGTGTTTTAGCCGTAGTTGCCACTCCGTCATTGATTCCAATGCTTTTTAAGGCTCGTTATGATCATCGTCGGAGACAGAGCTATGAATTTTTTTAAAATAGTTTTTCGTTTTTTTTTTTCAGCTTAACTTTCTGAAAAGAAGGCTTCCCTCTTTTTTTTTCAATTTTTTCTAATGCAAGGTTGTATCGCAAGTGTCTTGAAAGTTTTTTGAGTATCAGAGAGCTTCGACGTGATATATTTTTTCTTCAAAAATTGAACGTTTCGAAAAAAAATCTATCAGTTTTTCTTGGTTTCAGTTGATTCATTGAAACCTTTCCAACTTTATGTCGGATATTTTTATGATGGTTTTAGGCATTTTAAGTGCGGTGAGTCTTATTTCTGTGAAACAAGTCAAAACGGCTGTCATCCTCCAAGACATCCGCTAAATTAAATTGAGTGTAATCAAGCTGGGGAGGCATTTATCTTATATCCGCTAAGCGACATAATCGATAAAACTTGAGTATGTCTCGCGAAAGTTATGCTAATTTTGTCCGACACCGTTATAAATTGAAGCTTCATTCCTTGCGCGCAGAATAGCATTTGCTGGTTTTTGATTTTTTCCTGGTTTTAGGCTTCGAATTAAATTGAATTGGTTTCTTACTTTTTATGGCGTTTAAGGCGGCGACCGAATGATGGAGGTAAACGCCGAAAACCGAAGACAGGATTATGAGAAAAAACCCGAAGGCGAAGTTCAGTTTGACGATCCCTTAGAAGACACGAATGAAGAGCATGGTGAGGAAGAACGACAAGAAATGCCGAACGCCGCCGACAACGCTCTCGGAGATGACTTCAACGACGAAAATGCAAGAGAAAATCAAAACATTCCTGACTTCGAGCAGAATAAGAAGTAAAAATAAATCAACTAAAAAAGATTATATAGACTAAATGTTGCCTTAAGCAGAGTTTTAAGATTTAAAAAGTTAGACGAGTTGTTTCTGTGAAGTCTAGTTTTCTCAAAGCGAAGCTGTTATGACATGAGTTTGTAAACTGAATCACTGCAATGGTGTAGCGCATTTACCTCTGTTGTATACTATTTCAAGTACATATCATCTCTTTAAAGTTTACCTAGTTAATCAAAAATGCCTTCTGGTTATATATAAGAAAAACCAAACCTAGGAAAAAAAACACCAAACCAGTATCTGGTTTTTCCTACCCAAGTCTTCAAATTCACTTTCATAGATTTTCTAGATCAATTCGAAAAGTTAGAACAACGGCATTTTTGTGGGTTTTTGCCAATTAATTAAATTATGAGTTCTCCCTTTTATGTTTACTCAATTAAATTGAAAACTTTGTATATTATCCTGCAATGATTATTTGAACTATACGCATTGTAAATTTGTGGATAAATTTACGACTTATGCAAGCTGTTTGAAGTGTCAGTGAACGTAGTGAAGACACGTACGATATAATGTCTTGTTGGTTGTTTGAGGAAAGTCTCGAAAGTTCAGGTTCAGTTTTGTTTTAAGGGGTTTGATTTTTACTCTAAATTCTAATTTAATTGCTGGAAATAAGGAAGGGAAATTTCGATCTCGAATAATGAAGGTTGAAAAGGAATTAGTTTAGAATAAATGTTCTAATTTAATTTGTTAATTTATTTTGGAAATTAAGAAATTATCTTAAAAAAGACATTGTGTCTGTATCATCGGGGCACAAACGTGTTATTTACACTTGCGAACTTTATTGAGGTAGTGTTATAGAACGACTATTCTTTTTTTCTAACCTAACCGCAAATATTGGTTTAACTTTTGGGGGCATTTTACGCCTTTTTGATAGCATGTGCTTTAACATTCGATTAGTAATACGTTAACACATTTGATGCATTTCTCATTGTTTAATTCAACAGATAAAAGCTATTTGCTTCAAATAGCAGTGCAAAAATAAAAACTCGATTCCAAAAATTTTCCTCTCAAAATATCTCAATATTATTGAAATGCTTAAATTATACATAATTTGGCGTTATGCTTTCGAATTCATTACATGCAAAGATAGCGTGGATGCCTTCAGCTTGTTATATATTTTATATTCCAAGCTATTACAAGCAAAATTGTGTCTATTTTTGGTGCCACTATTGCTGCATCCTATTGGAAATCTATTAGCATATGTAGCTGCTTTATTGGTTACTAGTGTTTGTGGATTGTTAACAGTTCGTAGCCGAGCGGGCAGCGTGTGAGACTCGAAATCTCGAGATCGCAGGTTCAAATCCGATACGCAGCAAAATTTTACTTATTCGAAGCTTTTTTCAATTGATATATAAACTGCTTTTTTGTCGTGTTCTCGCAAGTAATTGCGAAGCGCAACTCCACCTCTGAGTAAAAATTTGGATAAACTCTATACGAGTCTTTATATTGATCAGAAATTCTTCATTTGTTCAAATTGAATTATTAGTTTTGGTTGAATTGATTCATTGCATTGAGATTTCTCTCAATAATCGGACTATTTTTTCGTTCAATGGGTTTTTGTTTTAAACCAATTCTTATTTAGGACGTTTGTTTTTGGTAAAAAACTGGTTTTGAGTTCAGTCTGGTGATAGTTGCTGGAGTACATGAAATTAATTCAAAATTGGACTCTTTTTCCTTTCCCCCCACCTCACACGAGCTTCAATATACTAGTGTAACGAGTGGTTTGTTGAGTATGAAGACCAAATATGTTTTTCGTGACCTTATCAGACTGTATGTAAATTTTCATAACAATCGGACAATGTGGTCAACAAATTTACATATAAAAACTTACAGGCGGGGGGAAAGGAAAAAGAGCCCAAAATTGCTATTAAATTGGTTTTACTGACTTATCCTAGTATCCACAGTTCCTAAAATTATTGCAGCTCGTTAACGTTTGCATCTGGTTCGTTAATACCCTAGGGTTCGATTTTTGGAGGGTTTGATTACAATTGTCACTTTTTTAAAGTCACCTACTTGACTTTTTTTATACATGCTGTCTGAGAAGTATCTAAATAAGATCAGCTGAATCCTGAGTAATTTCGGAAAATTCTTCCGAAAAAAAAATCAATATAAAAACGCAATTGGATTGCAAATTTTTGAGATTTCATGAGATTGTGCTATATAGAATTTATTTTCTAATTAAGACAATTATTCCACAGTTTTGCAATTTTTATGCTTCATACCGAGTAAACTGGGTTATTACACAAGAGCAGCTAAATTTCATTATGATATCCATTTTTTTCCAACTTGAGTCGAAATAAACGTGGTCATCTATGTGATTGCATTTTTGCTTTAATATATCTGATTTACTTTTGCTGCATAGCATTATTACCCTTGCAATAAGCAAGGGTATTGCAACCGGGGACTGGCTTTTTTTTCTCGTGAATGGTCAATTTAGACATAGTAAATTTCAAGACATGCTTATGTTTTGAAAATTTAAATGAAAATAATTCCTCTAGGTAGTAAATAGGTGAAATACTTATGAGAAGTAATTATTTTTCAAATGAATAAGTTTAAAAAATGTTGATTTTTTCCGATTCGTGGTTTTCGGCCTAGTTTCCGTCGGTTTATTTTCCTTTGTTTTTTGAATATCCTTTTTATCTGGTATTATTTTTTACCGAGCTAATTTGTAAAGCATGGATTTTGTTTTAATTGTGTTTTATATAATAATAGAAAGTTCTGTATTTTGTCATTTTTACCATGTCTGATTTTGAATATTTTTTTTTTGATTTTTTGACTAAATGATTTCGACTGATTTTGCATCGGTTTTGTCCAATTTTTATTTGTAACTTCGACGGCAAAAATTCTTATCGAAAAAGCAGGTAGTATGAAAATGTATGTGATTGCTATTTTTTTTTTACTTTTGAGACGCGTTCGAAATTTTCTCACATTTCAACGAAAAATTTTGTTCAGTAGAAAACTACTTAATCGAAATTCAAAAAAGCTTATCAATGAAAGAGCGCCTACTCCTCTCTGTGCAAAATCCCGTTGTCTATTTGTTCTTTACCTTACTGTCTACAGCCTCCGAAAAAGTCTGTGGGTGAATGTTCGACCCATATTTTTGGATATTTTTCGTTTTCTCGAAAAAATTTCTCCCAAATTTAAGAATTTGATTTTAATGGACAAAGACCGTTATGGAAAGCTCAATTGTATAGCGGCTATAACCAAGTTTTTTTACAAAAAAAGTTAGGGCTACCGGAAAAGTCAATAATTGCTTTTTTAACCGTTTTTTGAAACTCAATGACTTTTTTTCGAAAAAGAAAATCTCAAGTAATTTTGCGTTCAATCAAAACAACAATGTGTGTGTATTTCTCGAGAGGCCACGCTTATATATTTTAAGAAGGTTTGATTCGCGGAACAGTCAATCTTTTTTTAATTTTTCGACCCTTGTTTGGAAACCTTTTGCTTTTCTCGAAAACTACACTGTCAATTTTTAGGTTAAGTTTGCAGGTTTAACCGAGAGACCCGGTTAATTTTTCATGTTTAAGCAGCCACGATTTTCTCATTTTAGAAAAAAGTGATAGGTTTCAGAAAATCAAATTTTTGAACTTTTGACAGTTTTTTTTGTTTTTAGAAGGTTTTTGATTTTCATAGAAACTATCTTATCAAAATTGAGATGAAGAAATCAATCGAAAGAACCGGTTGAGAAAAATTTTCCGGCAGAAGCGGCGATTTCTCATTTTTGTGAGGAAACGTTTATAAATTTGGGGAGATAGCAATTTCTTTAAAAATTTTCACTAAATTCCTTTATTTTAGTAGAGAAGCAATTAAAGTTTCGGACAAAGTCCAATTTTTGAAATTACCCATTTCATCAAGCATAAGTAAAGCAGATTCCAAAATTATCAAACATCTACCTCCAAGTTTTATTGGGCCCCTTCTTTCTTGTATTGCGTATTTGGTTTTTCTAGTTTTTTCTCAACGTAATTATTTTTTCGACTCATCATTTTTTTAATTGTTTATGTTGTATTGCAAGTGTTTTTTGTATTTGGTTTATTGGAAACGAATAAGATTTGATGTTTTAAATGAAAAATAGATGAACGTATATGTATCGATGATTATTTTGTTGAACTTTTAATATACTCTTACTACAGAAGCGCACCCATACTATCGTCTGTCTAATTACTTTGTTGGGCTTAGTTCCCAACGATTGATTCTTTTCAAAAGTTCAGCTTTTTGTTTCGTTACTATATTTTTTTCTAAAGCGCCAGCCTTGGATTTAATTTAGTTTAAAAAATTTTTAAGGAGTTTTTTTGTTTTCCATTTTTACAAAAACTTTAAAAAATCAAAAACAAATTTGTTTGAGTTAATTGGATTTTTTAAGATTGTTTTAAGATTATTTTAATTAACTGTTTTGGAATGTTTGGAAAAAAGGAACATTTTTTCCTTTGTTATAAAAAAGCAGACTACGTAATCAACATTCCTCGGCCTATATTTGCTTCTAATTGTAATTTTTTCATGAATATTTTCTTCTATCTTAGTAAGATTTTTTTTGTTTATTGAAAAAGCTCTGAATACGTTTTTGGGATCAAGTTAACATCCTCCCCCCAAATAGACCAAGTTAAGATCCTCCACCCCATTGTCCATTTTAATTTAAATCTACTTAGCGCTGCATGTAAAATGTTCTATTCTGATTGGCTGAAAATTCGAGCTCAGAACTAAGTTAACATCCTCCCCCCTAAATGGATTTGGGGGGAGGATGCTAACTTTGTCCCGTTTTTGAATCTTTTTTCTAAACGAATCTGAATTTCATGTTTCGTGGATTTAGGTGCATTTTTTGGCTAAGTTGCAAAGATTTTCAATCTCAAAAAATATATATAATTCTTAGACGAGTGTTGTTTTTGTAGAGTTTCAACTAGTCTTTTACTGAAATTTAATGACTGATTTACCGCCAAATTGAGTGAAGCTGCATTACACTCGGTAAGCATACAATTTTGATGATATGAACAATACAATTTAAGTATGAACAAAATTTGTGAGCGGCTTATTTAGAAGAAAATCTGAATGTATCAAGAAAGAACCACTAACTTACAGGCAAGTTTTGTTTTACTCTAAAAAAGCAACATTTTTATTCATAAAAATCTATGGCTTAAAAGGCTGATGTCTAAAGCTGTCGTTTGAGCTTAAATACTCGCTCTAGATCTAAATTAGTTAAGTATCAC